TTGTTAGTTCGCATCAGTTCGCACTGAATTACGAATTCGCTGCGAATTCGCAAAACAATGGTAAAATGCGAATTGTTGCATCATTTTTACGCCCAAAAATTGCGATTCGTCAATTCGTCTTTAGACACTTTGTCCACACTAATGGACAATACATAGGTAGAAGTAAAATGTACCGCCTATAGGCTAGCTGACCAGAAAAGTAAATGCAGGACTATTCAAAAACAAGTATATGGCTTGGCCAGCTAACTGTGCTACCGAAGTGAAACTCCTTGACGGTTTTTTAGCATTTTGTTTCTCTTATAATTTTCGAAGGACAAGACTTCCACAGCTCTAAAACATCTCAGGTTAAAGAGAAACGTTTGTTGAAGACTTTGAGATGTTCTCGCACTCTACACAATCTTTCATTCGAAAACTATAATAAAAATACAAACACCAACATTTTCGGATATAAGTTTGAAAAGGAGATGTTTGTATTTTTATCATAGTTTTTGAACAGAAGAATGTTTCGACTTCGAGAACGTCTTAAAATCTTAGCATACTTTTCTCTTTAATTTGAGACGTTTCAAATCTCTGAGCTTCTCGTCCTGCGAAAATTATAAGAGAAACAAAATGCTAAAAAACCTTCGCAAAATTTCACTTCGGTAGCAGAGTTAGCTGACCAAACTCTATAGTCAATTTTGCATAAATTTGATAGCGCTATACGATGAGCATATTATCTTTCTAGCTGTCAGATCATTTGACACTAGGCGAAGTGGCATAGAATCATTGCGAAGGATGAAGCAACTTTTTATTTACTTTGCTATAACGGGTATTTTACATGTTTGACTAATTTCTTTAATGTACTCATCACGGTTTTTATTTGGATTTCTTTCATCTTTTGTTCGACCATGCACGATCAGTGCATGTGCTCCCGTATTTTCGATTATTCGTACTAATTTCAACGTATCTTCAAGCTAAATGAAAGCATAAACAAACAATTTGTCTATATACATTCTGATATAAATATTTTCATTACCCCCACAAGACTTACCCACACTTACCGACGGTAAACAGCGGATTTTGCATGTTACTGGAATTTTTAGATTCTTTGCGAGTGTTTCTAATATCTAGAGAAAAAGCGAAAGTCACGTGATAGTGAAAGTCAAAGTTTGAAATTCTTACCTCTTTTATTTTATCTGGTTCATGTAGCAAAGCTGCTCCCATACCACCCTGTACAATACAAACAAATATATACTGAGTCTAATTTAACATTAAAAGTAACAACGTACATGTACAGAAAACTTTTTTGGACAGCCCATATTAATATCGATACCAGCAACATCATTTTCACTAAAAAGTAAATAAAATCTTAGTAAGTGAAGGATTACTTTTTAATATAATTTCATCAAGAAAGACTAAGATGTGCTGGGATCTTTCTAATGTACTCATTCTGAAACTTGCAGATGATTAATACTGTGTTAAGAAGAAATGATTGTTCACATTTTTTTGTCCAGTCAACTAAGTAGACTCACTTGGTAATACTATAAATAGTCAACAAACAAGTACCGAACTGATCATAAGCTACAAAATGTCAAGGAATTCTAAAAGAATTTAAACTCTTACAAAACTCACGGCTTTTGGAAATAGGGATAATACTCGAATGTCTCTACAAATATCTATGCTATAAATGAAATATGCTTACACAATTTTGGCAGCAGTCAATGCTCGTTGTGCATCAGCTGTTCCCTAAATAAAAAGCCAAAGTAGAATATTTTATACACATTTCTTCGTCACTCACTATTTGAACAATAACTTTGCCCTTTTCGATTGAATGTGTTTGAAAGAGTGGTCGTTCTTCACCAGGAATCATAAAATCGACAGTACCAAGAAAGTCTAAACAGAAAAATATATGATAGATTAAATGTATCAGCGTAACATGTGAACAGCGTCACACTTACCATTCTCAACTCTCACGCAATTACTCAATCGAAAATCAATTAATTCTTCTGAGAAAACAATGTCAGCACCATATTCCAATGCTAATAAACGAAATGGTAACGATGAAACACGCACCATAGGCCCACAAATAAGACTATCAGAGATTTTCATCTAAAAGAATATTCATTCTATTGTTTGTTGCGAACAATACTACTAGAGCATTATTGGCCTAATTTGATTCGGTCCTAGAATGGCTAAGTTACTTCTTACCGCGTAATATCAATGTTTTACAATGCATAACTTATAGGCTGCGTTCGAATTTTTATAGAGAAAAAATGGTGGCAGTCGATTGCTGGACGGAAGAGAATTGCCATTGATCTTAGATGAATTAAAAAATTAAAAGTTTCTTGCATCATTTCCTTTTAAATCAGTCTTGATTACATTGCATCATCATGAGCAAGAAATAAGGTCTAGAAAATATCCGGTTCTATCTTGCTTATAATGACTTTGATACGTATAAATCGGAATACTTTGGGTCAAGAAGCGGTGTAATACAAATTAGCAGTTGGATTCAAAGTAAAGATACTTATATCTCGTAATATTCACAAAAAGTCTAGAGAAATCCTATGAGTATTTAGTACCACTGAGAAAAACTTTTATGAAATAGTTCGTTAAATTCAACTATAAAAATATCATATTTTGATTTTGAATAACAAATTCAGCTCAATATTTTCTTTTCTATTCCGCTCCTCTACTTCTTTTTTTTTTGGTTTTTCCGTGGAATCAGCGAAGTTCACAGCGTTTCTTAGCTATACTGGTTGCGAACGCCGATCGAAGGGAGGCGATAGCATTGTTTTGAATTCAGAAATATTTTTAGGCCTGTGGAGACCTTTGCAGGGTGAGGGTGAGAAAACCTCGAGAAAACCTTTTAGATTTACATTAGATTACGAACCGTATACAACAAATCAATGAAAAATTTAGAACATATTTCAGATAGTCCCCTAGCGAACGCCGACCGAAGGGAGGCGTGAGCGTTGTCGGGGATTCAAAAGTGATGGAGGATCGTTCGCAGATATAAGTTCCTAAAGTCAAGGGACCGAGAGAGTGCAGACGTATTTCGTTGTTTGAAAAAAATATTGATTTTATTCGTCATATCATGAATAACTCATTGGTTACAAATTTTGTGAATCATAGTCTTTCAGATGTCGCTGTTTTAAAAGAATTGCTATCAAACGTCTAACAAAAATTTAGTCTAAAAGATTTGCTAATTTCTAATAGAAAAAGATCAAGAGATCTCTTCTTGTGTTTTCTTCTTTCTACCTTCAAGCATTCTGCAAATATTTATACTTGATAGCTGACTGTTTTTAAAGTTTCTGCTGTTTTCACGGCCTATGCTACTAGCAATAAATTAAATAAACTTTTTGGATTTTCACAGTATCACTGTACATTTGAAAAAAGAAAAATCTATGGTTTTTTCAGCTACTTTTCTCTGACTCGCATACAAAAGTTAGTTCAACATCAAGTAAGGTCCGTATGTAGCAGAGCTGATCACCTGCATAATTTTTGGCCCTGCAGGGGCAAATAAAATTTGCCCGCGTTGCAGTTTAGTTTGCAGGTGAGAAAAGACACCTTTTGTCCTATACAGGCAGGGAGCACAGGTAGAAACTTCCTTGCAGGTGGACTGGATGCTTCCACTTAGATCCGCCAAGTTTATACAGACATAATAGCTGAAAAAATTTCAACACCCGTCTCGTGTAATAATTACAGGGAACACTTTTCGCTAATTGAACTCGACCAATAGAATTCGTCGAAAAAATTCGCTACGAAAAAAGTTCCCTAAAGACTACCATCAGTTTCACGACAAGATTGACAACGAGGAAACAACCATCGAATCATGAGATTTAATGGGAGAACATATTAAAACTCTGAGAGAAATATTTAAAAAAGTTACTAACAACTATGGCTTGCGTGATATAGCCAGTTCTTTGTCGTAGACGCAATGAACACGCGATTGTTCGAGCAATTTTGTAAACAACACGATTTCGGACTGCATTACGAAATGAAAGATAAAGTAGTATTGGAAAACGCGTTCAATCGATATGTTCAAATGTATTACGGACAAGTGCAGGTAATTGAGAAACAAGTCAGACTGGATAAAAAAAAACTATAAGAATGATTCGTATCATTTTCTTTAGGCCCAATGATGCTTTGATCCTCAACTGCCTTACAGTTTTCTTTCATAGCATGCGTTGGATGACAAAACAATAATCATCCAAGATCGCCGTTACCAATCAGACACTGAAATCGGTCGAAGTTTAGAAGACCAAAATGTTCAAAATTATTCGCTGCTATACGAGAAAAGAATTTTATTAGAGTAGCAGGAGATCAATTGTCGAACAGCATCCTCATTGATAAACTCATTGTATTGATCGAAAATGAAAAATAAAAATTTGTATTGATCATAAAACTCGAGTGATTAACGGTTGTATAACTATTTGTTTATTGTATTTTTTTAACTGTTTGTTTTTCTTCTATATAAAGTGAAGCCAAAGAAGCAAAATATATTTTTCTTTTTATTATTATTTACCACTAGAGCTCTCCAAAACTATGCAAGTCCCAATCTTCCGTCTACAACGGTTCGGACGCTATAAGGTTTTTCGGAAGACCTATCTATCTGCTAAACTTCATGTTTGGGAACTTCCAAAACACATGGATCATAAATTGTCGACCACTCTGAATCTCGTGGTAATGTTAATGTTTCTTTTCGAAAAGAATTTCGAAAAACTAGTGAAGAAAACGATACTAGACGAGATAGTCCATAATTTACTATTTACATCAAAAATTAAAAATTCATAACCCAGTCAGAATTGTTCCAGACTACATAAAAATATCAACATTTACTTGGTTTTATCTACTTAACCCTTTACCCCCAGAAGATATTTTTTTGAAGATCCATGAAAGACGGCTACTGAAGTGGAGCTCTTGAGTGCTCACTATGCTCATTCGATACTTAAAATAAAATGAAGTTGCCTAGGTGACAGAATATAGAATAGGGTGGACATCAGGGGGGAGTGACATGAAAAGTACGGATTTTTTCCTTTTACATTTTTTATAAGCTGCCAGTAATTAAAAGTTGCAGTACTTTTTATTTTTCGCCTAAAGGCACATCATTAGATACAGTTTTGTCTGGTGATCACGGATCTGACCTTATTTTTTCGCTTTGAGCGAGTTTTCCCGGAGAAAAACGCAAAATACTGCGAACTCCTCAAAAACGCCCAAAATTGACTTTTGAGAAAATCGGTCTAATCTTCTCACAAGTTTACTCTCCAATCTCACCAATGTGATTCTCGGATTCCTCGACTCAAACTGAGTCTAGACATGTGTCCGAACTACCCTCTTAGAAATCAATACCCATCTTGTTTTCTGGCTACGGAATCCTCGATTTTCACTCAAAAGATACATCATGGTAGATCTTTCATGAAAATCTGATTTTCTCATAGAATCATGTGACTAACTGTCCTCGATCTATTACTGAAAACCAAAGCTCTATAGCTTTTTCCGTTCAAAAGTTATTCAAAAACCATCCGCAACCATTCTATTTTGAAATGGATGGATAGCCGAGAGATTCGAATGACTAAACACAAAATGAAAGATAAGGATAATGACTTTTAAACTAGCTAAACATGCTCATTTCAATAATGATGATATCGACTTTGAAAATGTAGAGACACTCACCTCGAATCAAACTGGCGTCGATGAATAATAAAAAAAGACATTATTTAACGATGTCAAACATGCAGTCTACAGTTGATTATGTGCTCTTTGCAGCATGATTATTCAGCCGTTTTTAATCGTTTAAAAACGGCTGAATATGAAGTGCAATTGTGAACTGTAAAATGTCGAGTAAAAATTAATGAAATGGTGGATTTAGAGTGATATACAAATGGTAAAAAAAGTAGACCAATATTCTTTTCTTTTATTATTTGTAAAATTTATAGTTCATAGGTACATGTTTATTTTTCTTCATACTGTCTGATACATAACTTCTGAATAAAGTTGAAAACTCGCAATTAAATTGAATTATTTAATTGAGAATATTTACAGCAGTTATTCTCTGTTTTTGCTGTACGTCAGTATGTGAGAATTCTCTTTATATACATTTAATGAATTTTTGTTACAATTACACTAATCTATTCTCAAATTAAATCATAAAATATCTTGTTGTTGTTTTAATGTCAAATCATATAAAAAAACACGGAGTTGGAGTCATTGTGAAGATATGTCTTTTGTGCTTAACTGAATTGAATTTCTTCATATAGAATCACCCAAATTTACAGCAAAATTCTCCTCAAATATAAATTTTATTCTTTCTATTCATAAGTTTGTTCATATTAAAACAGAAAGAAAACCATTACATGGTTTCAATACATCAACACAAAGAATAGAAAAAAAAAGTGATTACAAACAGACATAGACAAAATGGCATTATCTTTTATTCAATTACAACTATGTCTATGTACACGAATTATCGTCGATAAAAAAATATACAAATCTAATTTTAGCACACACCAAAAAATAACAGAAAAATATCTGAATATATTCAATCTGAGGCAGAAAATAAGACTAAACAAAAGTACAAAAAAATTGCATTTAACGTTTGATACTATTAATCGTCTTCTTCAAAAAATAATCTTTTAAGTCTTAATTTTTGTAAATGGGAACAATTATTCAGTAATAAACGCATCATTTCAATATAATCATCATCAAATATTAATTTACCCTGTTCATGCGACTGTTTTATCTGTAGATAAAGCTCGTGCGTAGTTGATGCATTTTGTTCTATTTCGATTAATGATTTCTTTGACTGTTGTTGTTGTTGTTCTTCATCTTCTTCTCCATCATCGCGTGGTAATGAACGTTTGAGAGGTGATGATGATGATGGTGGCATTAGTTGGTCATCAGGAACCATAGCCGAATCTGTGATTATTGAAGTCTCCTCGCTAAACAAAAAAAATGAGAAAAATTTTCAGTAAAGAAATAAATAGAAGAAAAGACGAAAAAAGAAAAACCGATAATCAATAACAGAGGCTCTTCTCTGAGAGAGACAATCTTAATTCAAGATGTTCACAAAAGTTTTGTCTTTTTTCTATTTTCTATGTACCTTGACGTTAGTGTCGGATTTCTTTCTTTTCGTGTTCGATTCTCTCTAACAGTTTCGTTAGATATAACAGGTTCAATTATTTTATCAGATAAAGTGGTATTTTCTTCATCTGTTACTGATTGTAAATTATTTGATTGCATCACTGGTTCTTCTTGTTCTTGTTGAGGTTGTTGTAAATATAAATTTTCATATTCTTGAGTGTCAATTAATGTGTCCACATCATAAATCGGATCGGTATTTATCAACTCTGATGTTGCCTCATCTTTTTCAAATGTTTGATCGAGCAAACCCGTGGTTGATTTCGTTGAACATTCGAATGTTGGTTCTTCAGTAGAACCATCTAGAACGAGGAAAAAAATAATGAGAACTATCCTAATAAAGGCGGTTAGACTGGACATAAACATCGTATAAGAATAATAGCACAAAATAGCTATTTCCTTAATCAAGATTTGTTTTTGTTGTCATTAAATGTCATTGTTTTTATAGGTAAAATGAATAAACACGCGTTTGACTTATTCGCACGAAAAGTAACTATCATTCTGGAATAAGAAACAATATGTACCATCTCTTTCTCTTGTGTCTTTGCTGTAGATTAAAAGCGCTTTCATCCGAAAGAATTTGGTATTCGTGCGTCATAACACAAGAAGCGAGTCATTAGCTAGGCTAGTTTCAATCGAATTTCTCTTTTATCAGTTTTCAAAGAAATTCTTTACTACTCACTTGTTTGCTCATTCTCATTTTCGTTGCTTGAAATAACTCTTGTATTATTTAGACGATCATAAAATAATTGTAATTGTTTTCGAACTGTTTGTATTTTAGGCGGTGGAATACGATAAAGATCAATTTGTGCTGCTGTTAAACGAGATAAATCTCCAATTGTTCGAATATTTCGACTGTAAAAGTAGTTTAATGCACCACTTGACCTAAACGAAGAAAATGAAGAAATAACTAAACGTTGGTAAAAAAGAAAAGTCGCAGTAGACATATCTGAAGAAGAATTTATTTGTATGATGTAATGTAACTGAGTAGTCAAAAATGGTTTGCAATTATTTGTAGTAAAAATAGAAAACTTTAGTTAACGGTGACTCTTTTCATCGAATCTTTTAACTCAGTTTTTTTTGGAATATATTTTCTATACGAGAATTCCAACTTGAGATTGTTTTTCTAAATTGAATATGTTCTATTTAAAATCAATTCTCATATACTTCAATAACAAAACAAATAAATTTTATTTTTACAAGTTCGAATCTGCGAAAGCAAAAATTTTCTTTTCTTATATGTATGTTGAGAAGTAAAAAATGCTTTTCTCTATGTACATCCATCCATACTAGAGTGACTCGTACAATATAAATATTAGATGTAATTTTATGACTAGACAGTAAAGATTATCGTCCTCCGCCATAAGTTATTATCAGTACAGGACCATATCACCCACATTGAATATACCTGCTTCTTTCAGTTAGGCTCCTTTAACTTTCGACCAATCGTTAGTAACAATTTGTCTACAGGATCGCTCAAAATATTCAATAGAGTCTGTATTTTGTAAACAATTCTTACCATAATCCGCCAAATATCGAATTGACAACACTATCAACTGGTTCATTACAATCAATTAACAGTGGAAATATTGGATCAACTGCATCTAATTGAGAGACAGGAGTTTCATTAAATGTATCTGAACTATTGTTCAAATAACCCTGAAAGACAAAAATCAAAACATTATAAAATAAGAAACAACATTAGGAAGAACAATCATCACTGAATTATAATGTTTTTTCAAAAGAACACAAGACAGTGCAAAATCTCTAGTCAACGCTAACATATCGAGTAGGCTAAAGAGTTTGTACCGCATTGTATTTTACTGCTACTAAAACAACAAATATAAGTTAAACAAGCCTGCATTCATCCACACATGTTGAACAAGAAGAATTTACTTACCATAGTCGTCGTATTTCTAGTGTAAACTAAGGAGTGCAGGTTATCTAGTCAGGAGAAATGTACAACAACCGTACTGAATAAGCTGCATTCGTTAGTCAACAACTAAGATTTTCGATAATTTCATCTTATGTATTATTATTCACAAAACGCGTTACATACATACCTCAAATGAATCAATAGGAATTTCTTCAACTTGTGCTTGTATTTTAGTACCGACAGGTACATCTGATGAAAATGTTTTGGGCGATTCTTTTAGTAAATCAATTGTTATTTCTGACACTTTATCTTGGTTTTCTAGCACAGGTGAGCTGGAAGATGGTAACCAATCCAGTAAAGCATGATTTGGATGAAATAATTTTGATGAACGACCACGAGACGTGTTTCTACGTTCATCTAATGAAGAACTTAAATTTTGCTGGTGTTGTTGTTGTTCTGTAGATGAGACTGGTACTGCACTTAAACGTCTAACAACATTTGATTTTTGATTTAATGGTAAATTTTTTCGTTGTTCGTTTGTGGACAGGTTAGAAGTTTTTCTTTGTAGTGATTGTTGTTTGCGTGAAGGTGATGTATACACTAGTACTTTAATATCATCATTAAACTTCACACGTTTACCAGATCGAGCAGACGACGTCAAATTAGACTGCAAGCGTTTTAATATACCAGAAGACTTGTGTGCTGGTGTGGGAGTAAGCGGAGCTGCTGCTGAATCTTCGACAAGAATTTCATTTGCTGCAGTACAACCACTAAAACAAGAAAATACACAATGAAAAAAAGCACAAAAACGTTTTTATTCAACAAGACAATAACGCGTTAAATTTACTAAAGTGTTGACTTATTCAAAGGCTCTAGAAGTTTCAATTTTACTTTTTTATTACCTAAAAAAAGATGTTGAAAACTGATTTTGTTCTTGTTCATCAAATAATTGTGAATTACTAATAACGACAATATCGGATACATCGCAAGATGAAATTAATTTATTTAATTTTGTACTACTACGACGGTTTTTCTTTTTTCCATCTGTTGATGTTGATAATGTATCTTTGACAATTGTTGAACGTTTTGAACGACGAGAATTTTTGTTTTCTTTCTGTGCAACTTGTTCGGAATCTGAAGTTTTTTCATATTGTTGTTCTTGATTATTAACCGCCAAGGTCACAGGTGTACTTGCAAAACCTAAAAGACAAAGAAAATTAAAATGTTAACGTATTAATTGGACAGTGTACTCAAACTAACCATCTTCCATTTGTGTAACATCAGGATCTTCTTCAACGTCTTTTGTTACTGATGATTCGTGAGAAATTACTTCAGCTTGCTTGGAAAGTTGGTTTGTCTCGATTATAGAAGTTGATAGTTGTTTTTCGACTGGACTATTTTCTTTTTCTTGAGTGTACTTTTCTATTGTTATTGATTGTTGTTCTTGACTAGATGGGTGTGATTGATTAGGAGTAACATTTGATACTTTTTCACTATTTGAACTGGCATTAGATACACTTGGTTCTGATGAAAATAAAGCTGATGGAGATGATAATAAACTATTATTTGCTTTCGGTTTTGTTGGAAACCGATTCATTTTTGAATTACCCCGTAGAGAATAGCGCGATAGCATATTTTCTATCCTAGAAGAGAAAAAAAATAAAATGATGCTTTTTTTCTTTCACTTGTTTGTCAAAACATTGAAAAGCAAATCGACTTTAGTAAATAAATAAACAAGTTATAACATACGTTGGTGTATCAGGTACATTAACGATATCTGATTGTGAACTCTGCGTATTATCTTCATATAATATTGGCAATGGTTCTTTAGTTCTTAACATTTCTTTTTGATGTTCAGTTAAAGCCACATGACGACGTTTATTTGATATAGACGAATCAATAGGGATATAAATATCACTGGATGAAGATGCTGATTTTTCTGGTAAAGCGAAAAGATGAGGTGAAGAAATGGATGGAGGAAGATTTTTGCTACTGGATAAAATTTGTTCAGATTTATCAGTTATTTCGTCTCCATTATCAGATACGGTCACTGCAGCTACGGAAGTTGATGGCTGTTGTGTTGTTAAAATTTGAGGAATATCAATTTGTTGAGATTCAACTTGACTATCACTGTCGAGTACGATACAATTCAAACTTAAATCATTAGTCATTTGACCACTATTTTCAGATTCAGATAAAAAACATGGTAATAATAACTGATCTTTCTCTTTTAAATCTCGAAGACAATTTCTAAATAAACAGAAGAAATTAAAAAAAAGAGTTACATTTCCTAACATAGCAACAGTTTGTCTTTTTATTCTATTAACAAAAAATGTTAACATAAATCATATCAGATTTTTTACCTCAATGGCGCTGGATATGTAATATTTGATACTTTTCCAAATGTATCATTCCAAAACTTTTTTATTTTTGTTTTTAATGATGTTTTTGGATGTTGAAAACAAAGAACTAACAATGGATAAATTAAATTCAATAGTACATTTGCTTTTGATGAATCGTAGCTAATTTGTATTTGAGATAATATTTTGATGATAAATGATTCAAATGTGCCCATGTGTTTATTAGAATTTTGATTTAATAAAATTAAGTTTTCATATGAGAGTAAAAATTTAAGTAGAACATGAAGAAATTGTTCTTGTTCAAGTATATGTTCAAGATGTGATTGACTTTTGCATAGAGAAAGTAAATCAAGAATCAATTCTTTAATAGTGACATAAACAATTATTTTATATTGTTGAGCTGTTGTTGATGGTGTTTTTGATTTTAATAAACATGAACATATAGAACTCCATTTATCATCTTGTGATATTACATTGATCTTTTCTAATAGATGATTGATTAATGAGGACATACACGATAAATTATTCAATATTGATAAACGTTTTTGTTGAGATGATGAAAATAAACTAAATTGACTTGTACTGGTAGTGTTGATTGTTGACGAAGATGGTGGAACTTTTTGTCCGTTATCAACTCTAAAATAGGAGACAAAAGAACGTTAAAATACAAATTTCTTGTTCTTCCTCTACTAGAAACAAGGCGCTTATTCTAAAGAAGTCTAGACCTTTCAACAATAAAACATTGTTAAAAGTAAATTGTTCTTGATGAAATGATAAAATACATGTTGGAAGATTCATGACAGTGTAGTATCTGTGGTATACGCAAGAAAATCTCTGAATCTTACCTTGTTTCATGTGATGTATCTTGCAAGGAATGACATAGCGTTTTTAATGCAATAATTAAAAATCCCATTTGTCTTTCATTATCAAGTGAACATTCAATTGTTGGTGTTTCTCTGAACAGATCATCTAATATTTGTGTAAATGATTGACCATGAGCTGAATCTAATAATGTTGTTCGACATAGAGCTTTAAATAGTTGTTGCCATATGAGTATATAGGATTGATCTAATCGATCTGAATCTCCCAATTGAAATGATTTTAATAATAACTCAATCGATGTTGTATATGGACATAATCGATCATTTTTTTTACTCAAAAATCGTTGTGATGTACGATTAAGAATATGAATAATTTGTTGTGAACATTTTGACCATATATGCCATGCTAACGTTGATTGTAAATGTTGTTGGCGAAGTTCGTCAATACATTTTGATAGGAGTAATGATGTTTGTAAACAAAAATTATATTCTGATGTTTTTGACAATGTATCGATTAGATGAGTAATCAAATGTAACAAGCGTTCATTAGTAGAGTGAGAATCAATTGAAACAAATCGAACGGAATGTTCAATAAACATATGAAGAAATTGATCACATAATGTTGTTTTTGAAACTTCATCAGTATCAAGATCATCAGTGGACGTAAGCGGCAATTGAGCACTATGAATACTACCATGTGGAAAAATTGGAATTTCACATATAACAGCTAAACATAACAAAGAGATTAAGATAGATTCGAGCATAAATTTTTGCTAATCCATTGTGGATATCATATTTAAAATAAAGTGGGCTGCAATGTTAAAAATGAAATGAGTGTGACACAGAATTTACAATTTTTTGCATAATAGTGGATACAATCTTCAAATGCTATACAACAGAATTATTTGAGCCACATTACTCGATTTGATATAGTTGCCGTACTAACCCACTAACTTGGCGTTTGAAGGTGAAAAAGTATCTCGTGGGATTGGGACATTAAGCAATGAGAAGATGAGATTTGTATGCACTTTACAACTTCTTGCTTTACGGATCAGTCTTATATCTTGATCTTCTTTTTATAGCTGCTAACTGAAACTATCCATATATTCAATGTTTGTAAGAGGAGTCAGCTTGGAACTGTTGGTTTATTGCATGATTGTATCGGATGAGGTCCTATTGTTATAATATATTCCTATTATGCAATTGTCTGCTCAAATTTGAGCAGAAACTGGCACTGTGTAGAATCACAGAATACATGGATGGTTTACCGTCAAAACTTGAGCGAACAACAGTATAGTAGCGATTATATTACAGGATCCACCAGATACAATCCTGCAATAAACTTACAGTTCATGCATACATCGTAGATTCACCTAACAATTACTGACTCAAAAGATCTGCTGTAATAAGTTTTCGTCTGTTCGATTTAACAAATAATACTCACTTGAAACGTGCGCACTTTTGCGGCTGAAAGAATGAATCAGATAGGCAAACACCGGGAACGAAAAAAGTATGTCTACGTTGTTTGTTTATCAGATTCATTCTTTCAACCGCAAAAGTGTGTACGTTTCAGTGTCTTACTACGCCCTATTTCCTTCCATTAGCACATACTTGAACTTCTTTTTGATGAATTTTGCTCGGTATTTTGTTGCTGTTCTTTTTTGGTTTTAGTTTTACTAAATGTACTATGATTTTGTGTGAGACTATAAGTTTTCGTTCGTGTATTTCCAATAATTGGTTGTGAACATAATGGAAATTGATTAGATTCGAAAGCTTGAAAAAATAATTTTAAAATAAAATCTGTTGTGTACGATGGATTTAGCCAAATTGCTTCAAATTTTTCAATCAATAAATGATAGATAAACTGTTTCTTTTGATCACTAATAGGTGTTATTGTTGACTTTGTGGTCGAGGATACAAGAAATTTTGTCAAAACTTGAAAATACGAATTCCAATTCGTTAAAAATTGTTGTTCATCAAGTTTAGGTGATAAATCAGAAATTGTATCGAATAAATAATGAAGAATATGATCACAACATTCACGAATAAAATCATCACGCTCAGAGTAGGTCAGATACATATCGTTATTAACTGGACGATGATCTTGTGAAGAAGAACTTAATGTACATACAAGTAACTCATAACCAATTTCAACACAAGATATGAATTTATGACGAACTAAAGATGAACTCGATTCATCTTCAACACCAGCATCACCTAAATAGAAAGGAAACATATAATTTGACAAAAAGCAGCAGGAAAGTGTATCGGAAACAAAGATATATCAGCTATAAAAACATGTTTTTTATCGATGTTAGTTTCCAGTCAGACTGATAATATGAACTCTAAAAACCGTTACTTGTTGTTGCCGTTTCATTTGGATTCGATGAGCGATTTTTCCAATATTTCGATGGATAACCATAACAAAATGTAAGAAATGGTTTAATAACATCTTGAAACATTGTTGAATAAATTAGACGATGTGATTTTATCAGCTCGTACCATGATAAACATTTTTGATATGATGTTTGCTCGTTTTTCCATGTATTATCTAACAGAAATGGAGCCAAGAATAATTTCATATGTTTAACATTAAACTGGTACGATTTTATCGTATAAAATAAATTATGAACAAATTCGCTCCAGGCTTGAAATGCACATGAACGTAAATCATAGTTTGGTGAAATGAATGCTGAAAAATAAAAAAAGATAAAACTAATTTTTTTAATAGTGATAAAATTTGTACTATTCACAGCACTGATCATAGGTAAAATAAGTTTCATCAGGGCAGATTGAAGTGTAAAAAGCAACAATATTGTATGTTATGATAATATTTCGAGGATGGTGAATTTGAAGAGCAGACAAAAATGAAGAGAAAATTTTCACCACACTTTACCGAGTTCAATGGACCATTATCTCAAGAGTTCGAAATGAAACCGTTGGATTACAGAGACTATTTTTACTTAGATATAAAAACATGTTTCCTGCTTAAAAATAAATGTATTGCTTGTTTTAAACGTTCGAAAATCTTTTGAGTTTAACCAGATCTCGTGTTCCTTGACCTTAAAATCAGAGATGCAGAATATATTCGTTTGTTTCAACGTCCGTCGAGAGGAAAATCTTTGATTCGGGGAAATTTTTCAGAAAAACTTTAATAAAATAGAATTTTCGCTGAAAAATAACTGTAGAAGATATTCTGACATTAGCGAGAAATTCTTTTTGAAATATTTCTGTCGGAGGAAGTTTTTCATTCTTACGGGTAGATTCTGCATCTCTGTTTGTCTATTTTTGTAGCTTACCTTCCTGTAATAGTCCTAATATTTCATTTGCTTTTGGTGTTCCTCTTAACATTTGTTTTCCCATCAGAATAACCAACGTTGTCCAAAGTTTAATAGCAAACATATTTATTTTAATATTTGAGACATTCTGATGTTGCATAAGTGTTCGTAATTTTGATAAAAATAACGTATTTATTATTGATTGTAAATGTGTTCGTACAAATAGGTCAACTTCTTTTAATTCATTTAATTTTGATATAATTGCTTGACATAAATCAGATGTTACATTCAAATAATGATGTTCGAGTTCTTCAATAGTAATCACAGTTAGAAATGTTAACAATGATTCAAACCAATCACAAAATGTTAAGATAATCAATGAGGAACGATGTTTTATCAATGAAATAATGAAGTTTAGTATACACAAGACTAATTGAGGTTGTGTGCGCTTATCAAGTGTATGTTTTATAAATGGTAAAAGATCTTGTTTAAATTGAATGTCTGATATTTCATTAAGAAAAACATCTTCACATAAATAGTCTATAACTATTTGACAATAATCAACATTTTCACACTGTTCTAATTTTATTAATGATGTACAAAGTATATCAACTAATAAAATCGTTGCTGATTGAATATCAAAGGTAGACGATCTAGGAGAAAGCAGAAACAGAGACATGTAAACAAAAAATCAAATGAACGAACAGATAAATAACACACAAGTTTTTAAGTAGTATGATATGGCGCGTCAAATTTCTTGTGTTGTTTATTTATTTCGTTTCTTCTTGATTTGAACTATATCTTGCGCAACAAAGCTCACATAAACAATATAAAAACCACTGACTTGTCTTTTGCTCGTAGACAGCCAACTCACATAGACTACGTAAAAGATCTTTTCCTGAAATTTCATTTCTCAAGCACTTTTTTCAGTTATTTTCCTACTAGTTAACCAGAAGCGGAAGGACGCTCTTTTTAGCCAAATTTTAACGATTATATTCTGCAATTAAAACTGTTGAGAATGAAGAAATAATTTCGTTTTTTGGGTAGAATAGACAACTGGCATATCTCTTCTGAAGGTCATAACTGAATTAGCTGAATACTATCACTAAAAGGTTTTTAGATGTGGACTTTCTACAATTCTATAGTTTTTATCAATATATAAGTCTTAGTATTATTTTTATCAGTTTTGTGAGACATTTAAGAGCAACTTCGACAGAGCCAACTACTATTTCCGCAAATTGCGCATCCAAAAATCAGTTTTTTTCAATTTACTTTGAAGGTTGATTGAAATCTTTGATACATTTCTGCAAACCAGTTATAAAATGACGTAAATCACCATTTGAATTCAATTTTAAACGAACTTTTTCACATTGACTGTTAAAATCGTCTTGTTGTTGAAGGAGAACAACTGTTGCTCGACTCGATTTTCTTGTTAGTGGTGTACCCGACATGGTTTATTTGAATATTAAAAAAATATTAAATAAGAAAACATTTGCTTGTGATTCTTTGTCGCAAATGTACTCTTTGTTGATAAATAAATACAAACAAAAGGAAAGGAAAAGAAGTATTATCAGGCTGCCATTATCACGCACCGTAGTCGTTCGAGATCTCTAAAATGATGGACTAAAATCTGCAGTGTGTATATAGGTACATATATATACATATATAGTGCCATCTTTGAATATCTTATTGTGTAAATACGTATGTTTCTTCAATAAAGATAATTCATCTGTGCAGAAATGAGCTTGCTCTTCTACAATTTTGGTTGAGAAGTCATTTACTCTGCTTGTCAATCGGGTATACGATAGAGTCTGCAAATTAAAAAGCGATTGGCTGTTTTTATATCCCTTTCGTTTAGTTCTCTATTCCCATCCATCCTAGTTTCGATACATAGAATGCCAAATATACAACAAGTTACACGTGATATGCGATCGAAGATGAGAAGGTCTTCGGTTAAAGGTCTTATAGTGAAAAAAATGGTTAGAGTATATACGGTAAACTTTCCTACTGAGTACATCACTAATATTTGGAGTGTAATTCTCTGTTTTCATTTTATTTTATCTATTAAAAATGCACAATTGAACCGCAGTATTCACCGTTTGAGAATAAAATAATTATTTATTGCTAGTGTACACCAACGAATCTCTTGAATTGTAGCTTGCCTGTCAAAATGAATTTTTTTATCTGAATACAATTCTTATAATAGAATATACTTTGTTGTTTCGTAGAACTTGTGGCAGTTCAAGAGACAACTATTGCTAAGTTTTTAGCGTAAATAAGTTGCTTCTAGTATATAAGACAGTCGTATTTTGAAAATTTCTTGTTTGTTTAATTGATTCTATCAACTGGTAATAAAAAAAATCACTGAGACACATGTTGAAGGGCAACGGAATAAAAGCATTTATAATCTCTAATCTCAGCCAACAATTTTTCTATTATCGCTTACTCGGATGTCTTTTCTTTTTACACTCTATGAGAAGACGTTTTTTTAGAGCTGTTAAACATGCTTGTGTTCGACAAACGCATACAGATGAATCACAATGAGACTGTAGGTATAGTCCACGGTAACTTGTTTCACTTATTTTCAATTTCTCATCGTAATATTCAATCTGTCTGTAATGTGGATTCGTTAACATTCAGAAAATCAAGTGTAAATGTCTTCGCGAAAAATAGCGATGTGCAGGAGAAAAATTGAAATCAAAAGTAGATTCTTGAACAAGGCAAAAATGAAATAATTGTTTATTATCTACAATGAAAACTTCGTTCATAGTTATGTTCACAAATAGGGTACGCTTAATACAGTTTTTTAATCTAAATTGCATATCTTGATAGTGTTCGAAGTTCAAGCTTTTTTTTTTATTAACCTTTTTTAGCACAGATAAATTGTTGACTGATTTTTCTATATTTTCTTCTCTATGCTTTTAGATAAAACTAAATATTTATAACAAATTTCAATTATGACTACATCTTGTTATATAAAAGCATCGTGTTCATTAAATTGGGATCCCGATTCATTGTTTAATTTAGCTTTATCAGCCGTAGCAAAATGTTTTAATAAATATTTAAAGGAAATTAAAGAATTACCGGCCGAAGTTTTATTTGATTTATTTTATATGGTATGTTGAGTTTCATTAAACTCTTGTACATTTTTTAACAGTATCAAGAAAAAAGTAGAATAAGTAGTAGTTGCTAAGAAAAGAAAAGGTAACTGAAGTTAATCCAGCGATTTTCTAATAGAAAACACTAATATGAATAACGTTTTATAGTGGTGTGAGTTCTTAAACAGCATTAATAACTCCTTTTCTATTATTACTGATAAATGTTGCTACAGATCATAGTTTGTATGTTTGTTTTTAGCTTTATAGCAAAGGTCGGTTATGTCAGCTTAGTTTTCAGTTGAGGGACTTACAAGTATTTGATAGAATATTGCAAGTTAAAAGTAAAAGGTCTGTATACATGTGAATTATCATAGTAACAGCATGAAAGAAATCTTTGTCTTTGCTTTAGATGTCGTCTACATCATTGTTTTCAAGCATTAGCCGATCATGGAACAAGTTTACCAGAATCAGTAGCAGACATCTATAAACAAACAAGTCATACCAATTTTTGTACTCCAAACGATCGTGACAGACATATTAGTCTCGGATTTTCCTTAGGTATAAATCTCCTGATAAAAATTTTCTTGCACTACGAGTAATATAAAAATATTATTCTTTTCTAAGGTTCGTTCTTTTTTGATGCTGGCTGGTATTGTGAATCTGAATTATGTTTTAAATCAATTTATGATTTAACGTGTAATGAAAAACCGGAAAATTTATTTCGAAAAATAGATGTTGCAGAACGGTCGGTATTTCAATTCCATTCTTTTTTTCAAGTAATAGCTCCAATCTAATTTTATTTGATTAGAATTATTCACTGTCAAATCTGTGATTATCGTTACGATGAAGCTAAATCCACAATGGACCTAATTCAAACATTATTAAAACAAACTGAAAATGAAAATTTGTCTATTAACAAAGCCCTTGTCTACATACGATTTGCCGCATATTATTTAGCTGTTTCTAATTATAACGAGGTAAGTAAAACATAGTATTGATTATTGTTGAGTATGTTAGATACGCCGTATTTCATATTTATATGCAGTATTTCTGCAAGATAAATCTCCACTTTTTTAGATATCTGAAAATTTCGGAAGAGAGTCGATTAGTGTCGCGAGAAATAGTTTTTTTATTGATAGATTTTGTCATTAGTTAAACTAGACATGAATATTTTTTGATTTCAAGCAAGTGTACACTGCATGAAGTTAACCTTTGGCTTGTCGGAACTAACTAAGTAGAAACAATTCTTGTTAACTTTTAGGCGCGTTCATTTTACTTCAGGCCTACGCATGGTCCTTGAAATCATTTGAAGAATTAACCAAATTACCACACATTTTGTCTATTTCAATTCGTACCATAATCGACGTGTTACGTTTATCATCACGAGTATTTACTGTTCGAAGATTATTTTCACAAGCTGACGTTTTATGTAAACAAGCATGTTTATTGGCTCGTAAACATTTTGGTACTAAATCATTGAAATATGTTGATTGTATTAAAGATTATGGATTTTATCTATTGTACGTTGATTCGATAGATGAGAGTGTTCAAGCCTTTCAATTAGCGTTAGATATATGTTTACAAATATTTGGTGGCAATAATATTCTTGTTGCCATAGCACATTGTGATTTGGCTTATGCTTTGTATGTACAAGAATATTCAAATGGGAGATTTGATAATGCCAGAAAGCATGCTGAACAATCAATTGAAATTCTACAACGACAAACAAAACAAAAATATTTACTATTAGCATCATGTAAACGAGTTAAAGCACTTATTGTAGAAGAGATTGCCATCGATAGTAGAGGTGAGAAAAATGTAAATATTTCTAAGTGATCTGTATCGTATCCTATGCTTTTAGGAAAAATAAGGGATTTTTGATGAAACTGAATCGATAGGAGTAACAGAAATATAATATTTTCAGAAGAATTGAAAAGTATCCCTCGCGTATGACTTGAACGAAAGGAAGAGAGCACATAACTTAATGAATCGATCCGTTGTAGTTTTGGTTTCAAATGCCTCTGTACTGGTCAAAATAAGTTCAAATATTCGGTTTTAAGCGTTTTGGGATCGTTTTTGCCTTTCTAGTTCAGTGAGCATGCCCAAAAGTTGGAGGCTGCCTTTCACAAGCACCATAAGGATGATTATCAGGTACTTCTCTCTAGTATTTTAGTAATATACAAAGAAATGAACACAATAAAACGAAGATTCTTTTGATTCACTACAAACTGGTGTAGCACCTTCACTAGCTCGTAAAACCTCGTTAGACTCAAGCATATTTTGATTAGACAAAATGCAATGTGTGGATCATTTTATCTCACATTTTTCTCAAAAGAATTTGAGAAAACATATTTCTCTAAAGCCTCAACTCTTTCAATTGTCTACAGGCTTATTTATTTTTGCAAAATTTCGTTTGCAGAAAAGCACTAGATGTTTTTGTTTTCGTTGAAACGTTTTGAATCGTATTTGTTGCGTATCACCACTAAAACAACATTTAATACTAAAATACTAAAAACGTAGTTTTTTTTTATTTAAAGAAATAAATTGTCAGCTCTGCTATTGTATCCATAGGCAGAAAAATAAAGAGAATGATATTTACAATGATTCTTAGTTTTTTCTTATTTTAGATCCATCCGTAAAAAATCAGTTATTGAATGAAGCGCATGAATTGCATCAGTTCAGTTTGAAATTGTCTTTGGATATATTTGGAGAAGAAAATATCAATACAGCAAAACATTATGGAAATTTAGGACGATTATACCAGTCCATGAACAAATATGATGTAAGTGATAAAAATCAAATTTTGTTTGATTAGAGCAAAAATTGAACAAAGTCTACACGATTAGTTAATCCAAAAAAACATTTTTTCAAACGTTAATTAAACATCCATTTTGGTGTTAGTTAGAAAGAGACGTTTCAAAACATCAGACAGAAGTTTGTAGTTTTAATTCGACATAGTGTTACTTTTTTGTTGTTGATAATTGATAATAAATATTTTTTATTTTATTCAGGATGCGCGCGAAATGCATTTAAGAGCAATTCGAATAAAAGAGAGAATACTTGGTGAAGATGATTATGAAGTAGCATTGAGTATTGGTCATTTAGCATCATTGTATAACTATGATATGAAAAAATATGACGAAGCGGAACGATTGTATTACAGATCAATTGACATAAGTAAGTTCATTCTTTTCAAGTATTGACTTCTCTTTTTTTTTTGTATTGAGAATCATCGGTGTGTGTATGTTGTAGAATTGGAGAGACTATTCAATTAGTTTTGACAACTTTTTATAATGACTCATCTCAAAGCTGATATAATCTTTAGTCATGACATTTGGAAATTAAAACTTTCATTTTGTGGAACATCTCCCAATAGTTTCTAAACGAAAGACGACTGTAAGTTCTATACTTACATCATTAGGCTTTTTTGGTCATTTTTTCCTATCAATGCACTGCTCAGAGGTGTTCTACATTCCAGTCCGTGACACGCTTTTTTTTAATTTAGGTCGTCGTTTATTTGGCGATAGTTATTCTGGTCTTGAATATGACTATCGTGGCTTAGTTCGTTTATATCTAGTCCAAGGATATTGGTCTCAGTTAGATCAACTTCAACAAACATTTTTAAACTATCAAATGTTACGTTCAACTGAAAAGCCATTAGAAAATATTTTACAATTAGATAAAGAACCGATGACGACTGAAAACTTGTTTGACTATGTCCGATTAACAATCAATTCTAATACGTGATATATGTTCTCCCGTTTTTTGTTTTTTTTATAGTACCATAATCTTAACAGAAAAGAGCGAGACACAATATTGTCTTTTCTCGTCCTTTTTTTTTTTGTATTAAAGACTGTATTTATTCTTAGTTTTGCAAAAATTTTCGGATATTGATGAGTAATTCTTTACATAAAAAAGATCTCACTAAAATCATTATGATGACGTTTTTGGACTTTAAACAAAAGTGAGTCTGAAGAATAAAACCTTGGCATGGTAGTACCTAAAGGTGCTAAAAGGTGGAACTCTAAATATTGGTCTTAAAAAAAAATTAGGTCTAAACTGAAATAAAAGTTTAATATACTAATGAAATTTAAGAACATGGATGAAATTTTTTTTCTAACGAAACGTTTATCTTTGGCTATAAGCTGGAGTATATGAATGTTTTTTTTGGAATTTCGTTTAACATAGACCGTTTGTTAATATTCGAAGTTTGATCCTTTAACACAACTCGTTCCGAACCTTTTTAAGAGGTTGTGACTAACACTTTAACAGGTTGTATGTAACAAATTTATCTTAAAAACAGCGGGTTTTGAGTATAAAACTGTTACTTCCTCTTCTTCGAAGCTAGTGAGGAAATTTTATACTTTTTTTGAAAGTTTTATACTTTCAGTCATTCAAGAATTAGGGGGGGGCGGACCTCCACAAAGAGTACTGTTAAACCTTCTCAGATTGTAGAGAACACTTGACTACATATATCCTGAATTGTTTTCGGATTATTGATAAGTAATGGGTGCTGCAAAACTCCCTGGGAAAATGTCTCTTCATTTTTCTTCTACTAAAATATGTTTTGAAAAAATGAAAAATAGCTATTCAGAATCTATATTTCAAGAGCTTTCTAACTGTATGTTCAACAAATGTCTATCACTTGTGACCTTAGAGCAGTAAGTGCATCTTTGAAGGGCACTAACATGTAGTCTGTAAAGAAAAGAAACTTGTATGTCTTTTTGATTTCAACAGTAACAGCATTAAAATGAGAGATCACACTATGGTTTCCATAAGAGATTACAGAGTAGACTTTTCTCTACAAAACAGAAATTATTTTCCGAAATTATTTTGCGTATTGAAAACTGAACATCCTTTTAAGTTATGCAAAGTCATCGTTTATTGAAAAATCGTGTTTTTTCTGACATAGAAACTAGTGTTCGCAAAATAACGATAATTTCTAAACCTTCTGTCCTATATCCTATTTGAGTACGTCGTTTTGCAGAGAAAAGTCTGCTCTAATAGCTTACATTGTCAAAATAATTCTACTTAACGGCATTGAATTTTAGACTTGGAAAAATTCCACGTATTCCTGTTTCTGGATTAAACGTTGGTGTTTAAAAGATTCACTTTGTGCTCGTAGGTGAGAAACAAAAAACGTTTTTGAACAGTGGTTGAGAAAGTTCTTTAAATGCAGATTTCGAAGAACTTGTTATTTTTTTCTAAAATATTTTTAACACAAGTAAAACGAAGTGACATTTGCACAAGAACTTTTGCAACGTTTTGCAGTGTAACAGATAAATTGAGTTTTAAGTTTTTTAATAATTTTAAATTATGAAACTTGAGTTTTCTCTATCGTGCTTTGTTTGTTTGCAATAATTTTAGCATATAGGCAGTTTGTAAAAAAGCCGCTTAAAGGAGGGAGCCCGGTTTTCTACTGCTTTTTCGACTTAATTTTGATCAGATTTTGTTATCTGAAGTTCTATTATGAGCATTGGTCCAAACTTCTACTTTGGACAAATAAAATTTAATTTGCGCATCGAAGAAGAATAAATATAGACTTATTCCACCTATGAAGATTCGTGAACACCTTGAGATATTGCTCATTCAAGGTAGACAAAGCAGTATATAAAGATTAACTATTGGTGGAGATATGAGAGATGAATAATTTCTAAAATGTACCAGAACAATTTATGTGAAAAGCAAGTTTTTGAAAATTAGTTTGTCTTCTCCTTGCATAAAAAAAGAATTGAAATTTTTCTTTTAAGATCAAAAGATGTGCCTTAGACTGGGCTATCTTTTCCATATTTTTGATAAGGAATAAGTTTAGTGATCACAGAATTCTAGATTCAAATAGCTATTAGGACAAAAAACGAGCTAAGTGAGTGTACCGCCATTGTTTGTGCAAATTCACTTAAGTACTTCGGATAAATCACTCATTCGCTCATATCAGACAAAATTAACCTTTATTTGTCGTAATTTATTTACAAACTTATGAGTGTGGTGATAATGCAAATGTTAGATTTAGAGAACGGAAGGAGTTTGAAATTTTGTTATTTCAGGAATGTGGAAACTATATTAGAGAAAGAAAACAAAAGCAAATTTAAGAACATCTAACGGGTGGCGCATAAATAAACGCACTCCCGTATTTTGGATATAACTCCGCCGGCTTTTATCCTATCGATCCAAATCTTTTTCCAAAAGATTCCTTATTGAATTCTCTACAAAACCATGCCATAACAATTTTCTTAAACTGACGTGCAGCGAAATTACAAGAGGAC